GAAAGGGCATGCGTGTTAGTACGAGAGAGTGTATAAGAAACAGATTTCGCGACATCATAGACATTAAATTCACATTAGGAATGAATTGCTAGGAAGTATTACAAGAATTATTATATCCGGTATATTGGTCGCGCGATTAAAAAGTCGACTTGCACCGGGGAGAGAGTGGTGTATAAAAAAGATAAGAGTTATTACTCCAAAATTACAAGAGCTCGCGCACGGCCGTGTGAAATGGCGCACAAGTAATAGTAAACCCACCTCGATAATATAGCATGATAAAGAGTTGGCGGGCGCGCTTAAAGCTCGAGACGGCCTCGGTCTACACTCGGCCTCGGGCCGTTCATCGATCGACCGTATTCACGGGGAGAGAAACAATTTCTCTCCCGACGGCTCGTTAGCCCGACCGATATACGTAGTCGATACGGAATCGCAAAGTTGCCACCGTACGGAGCGGGAGTGAAATTCCGTCCGAGGACGTATGCGAACTCGCAAGTGGTTTCGATCGATCTTTTCTAATGCGCTTTCTCTCCTCCTCCTCTCTCGATGAGAAGCAGGTGCGCCTTACCGCTTCGTTTTAACATTCTATAATTCAGGGGTTGAGAGAGGGGAGGTTGAGAAAGGTACGAGAAAGAGAGCAAAAAATTACCGAAGATGCTGGTGAACGATTGCTGCGAATCGAGACGAGTACACTGATATATGTTTCACGCGGTTGAAATTTTTAGGGCTATCGATGATTTTCTTGCATTCTCAAGTACCGTAAAAGATATCGGATCCTCCGAGAAGAAGCAATCGTATTCGGACCATTAACCATGATGCAGTCCTAGTGTGCAGCACGAAAGACTGAGGATGGGGTTAATCATAATTTATGATAAAGAATATTTTATCCGATTTAACGCCAAGAATTAAAAAGAATGTCCCCATTGCTCTTATCATTATTATAGGAAGGGAATTTCTTAGAATTTTTAAAATTTGTGAAATTTATTTTTAAAAACTTATTATATATTAACTAACAGTAAGTAGCTAGATGTTTAAAGACATTTTTTTTGTATATCACAAAATTTCAAAATTTCAGAGCGGAATTTTGTTGGTTTTTTGCGTCGCTTGTTATTTATTAATTTATCAATTTGAATATCCGAACGTTATGTTTTTAAACTCTCCGTGCAAGCATACATTTTCGAAGTATTATAGAAACTGTAATTTTTGCTGTTCGAAAATCCATCGATGTGTAACTTAACATTTCGTGCATTATTTTGCCCGTATTATCAGAAATGTTGTCCATTTGCCGGGCAACGAGCAAAAAAGAGCTTCTGGCAATAATATATTTGAATATACGCGCGTTGCGACTATAGGCAACGTTTTATGGCGGATTATATATGAAAAGCGTGACTTTTAAATTGGCTACAACAGATGGGCGAATTTTCACGAGAGAAGGTTAATTCGCTATAATCTCTCCAGTCTCGAGTGAACTGTCGCATATCGTGACCGTTCGAAAAAGTTTCATATAAATTTCGCGGAAAGGTAGCAGATGAGAGAACAAGTTAAAAAAGAAAAATGGAAATACAAAAAAAAAAAAAAAAAAATACAAACGTGCGCAGACTTATCGGTTTCGTCAACGATAATGAGGCAGGAAACTGTACACTTTGGAAACAGATGACTGCAGCCGCTCGAGGTCTCGACGGTATCGTCGCTGACGAAATACATATCGATCGGGAGACGGATCAATCAATCTGGAATTTATTATGCTACCCACTTCCTCGTTCCGACAATCCGACATCGGAATAATTTTAATAAAGCACCAAGGTCACATCTCTCGAGGGTTTATTCATGAAAATCCTCTCTTAGATATTTGAATATCCGTCAGCCACGGAATAATATCGCGGTTTGGCTCGATATTAAAAGGACTCGTCGCATCGCGATTATGTTTCTCGCTGGATCCCAGATTGCTTCGACACAAGTTACGGGGAGGGAAAAAGCGACTTGATGCGAGGGAGAGAGAGAAAGAGAGCTAAATAGAGATACGCAAACGGATTAGCGCGCGGGCAGGTGTCAGCCGGCAGCATAATTAATTATCTCGCGTTACCGAGCCAAAAGTGATATGTTCGGTCGTTAAACGCGGTCGAAAGGGAGCATCGAGACCCGACGGGGGCTCGTTTTCCATCACGGCCCGTCGCGCGATTTCGCCCGCGTGTCGCGATGTCAAGTGCATTACAGGACATGCACTCGTGACGTGTCGCGCGCACTCTCGCTTATAAATCAAGCTTGTCCACCCGTGTCAATACTAACCGGATCAAAGTGAGTTTGTAAAAGTCAAGGGGACGTGGAGATGAGTTTCGCGCGCAACCGTTCCTCGTTTCCGCCTCTGTTCCGGACCGGTCCTCTTCCTCCCCATCTCCTGCCCGTCGCTCGTTATAGTCTCTCCTTCCGCGGCGCTTATTCATGGTGCTGGTAACGCGATCGATGTTTCTGGCACGAGCCATGCCGTGCTGTATCGGATATATGCCAGCAGATAGTATCTGTCTGCATCGCTTGATATCGATTTTCCAACGGCGGCTCATCTATACGCGGACTTGCTTTATTACGCATACCGTGCGGATTGTTTGGTCCATTATAGCAAGAACTGATTAGACGAGAAATCAGTTAATCCGCGAAGATTGTGGGGACGAACCGTTCCGAGAGAGGAATGAAGAGATTTATCCAGTTGATTTCAGCCGTAGCTAGTAGTAAGGGTCAACGAAAAACGCGGCATTTAACGAGTATTTAGTAATCGCGTGTATCATCTATACGCGGATTTGCTTTATTACGCATACCATGCGGATTGTTTGGTCCATTATAGCAAGAACTGATTAGACGAAAAATCAGTTAATCCGCGAAGATTGTGGGGACGAACCGTTTCGAGAGAGGAATGAAGAGATTTATCCAGTTGATTTCAGCCGTAGCTAGTAGTAAGGGTCAACGAAAAACGCGGCATTTAACGAGTATTTAGTAATCGCGTGTATCATCTATACGCGGACTTGCTTTATTACGTATACCGTGCGGATTGTTTGGTCCATTATAGCAAGAACTGATTAGATGAGAAATCAGTTAATCCGCGAAGATTGTGGGGACGAACCGTTCCGAGAGGAATGAAGAGATTTATCCAGTTGATTTCAGCCGTAGCTAGTAGTAAGGGTCAATGAAAAACGCGGCATTTAACGAGTATTTAGTAATCGCGTGTATCATCTATACAACGGTGGCTCATCTATACGCGGACTTGCTTTATTACGCATACCGTGCGGATTATTTGGTTTATTATAGCAAGAACTGATTAGAGGAGAAATCAGTTAATCCGTGAAGATTGTGGGGACAAACCGTTCCGAGAGAGAAATAAAGAGATTTATCCAGTTGATTTCAGCCGTAGCTAGTAGTAAGGGTCAACGAAAAGCGCGGCATTTAACGAGTATTTAGTAATCGCGTGTATCATCTATACGCGGACTTGCTTTATTACGCATACCGTGCGGATTGTTTGGTCCATTATAGCAAGAACTGATTAGATGAGAAATCAGTTAATCCGCGAAGATTGTGGGGACGAACCGTTCCGAGAGAGGAATGAAGAGATTTATCCAGTTGATTTCAGCCGTAGCTAGTAGTAAGGGTCAACGAAAAGCGCGGCATTTAACGAGTATTTAGTAATTGCGTGTATCGATGACCAACGTGAACCACGACCGTACTAAATCATGCGAATTTTATACAAATATATAACGATTGTTTTGAAAATATTTAATATACGTTTGAATATACTTTAATATACAGATTGTGTACGAAATATCTCATTGTTAATAAAACATGCAAATAAATATAATATGTACTGTAATAACTTATATAATTTATACCGTAACTTTTCAAATAAATGTGTGGTTAGCATGGTATGCCAGTGTGTATACTAATGTTATAAATAAATTCGATTAACATAGTATATACCGGTAAATATGATAATTAATTCTATATGTTTGTTTCTGAAGTGAAAGTACGTAGAAAATATCGAGATGGCTAGTCATTATATATTACATTGATGAAAATTAATGAAATGATTATGTAATAACTATATCGATTTTCTAACACTATTATAATCGGTACTAGTACAGTATTATAATCGTAGCAAATACACGTACATTGTAACTTACCGTGCGATTCCCCAGCTTTTGGCTCTCCTTGATTGCCGGATTTCGGGAATCTTTTCCGATAACGCTCGCTAAAATATGCATCGATACATATTCAAATCTTAGGGCTCTACACTTTTCCTCCTCAGCCCTTTCTCAATCCTCTCTTTCTCTCACGTTTCGTACAAGTCGTTAGCGTTAATCGCTTTCCGGTGGTCCGCGATCAGCCAACGAAGGAAACGGCCGGTCGACCAACCGTTTACACCGGCCGGAGATTTCGCAAATTCTATCTGGCTCATCCTGTGTATCTTCTCTCTCTCTCTCTCTCTCTCTCTCTCTCTCTCTCTCTCTCCTTGGTTGCGCACTCTATTATTATCTCTGAGCACGAAGGATCGCGGTTTCTCGATGCGTTTATTCTCCATTGAGTTCGCTAGAACTCGCTAAAATCGTTTCAGAAATTATGGAATTAATGCAAGAGGAAAATAATATTAATTGTGTATGTTAACACATCAACTCTCTCTCGCGCTCGCTCGCCTACTCATATATGTTCAAACTAATAATTATCGACTTTAATATTAATTTGCGGTAAAAAATAGCCTCGGCCAGTGCCATAATTAGCAATTTTTTTTTGCCTTTTCATCGAAAAACCGATATTATAATATTAACTTCTTCTATCTTTTTTTTCCAGACAAAACATATAAAAAGTACGTATATCAAGTCAGAATACAATAACAGTATATCAATCAGAATATATATAAAAAGTATATATCAAAGCGCTTTAGCAATAATCAATAGAGGTTTTTTAATTAAATATTTATACAATTTGTGGGGAATTATTTTCAGGGAAAATAAGAATCGTAGAAATATAATGAAATATGATTTATTACTAAATTCGCGAGATATATACATTAGGCCATACACATAAGAACGTAATCTTTTTCTCGTAAATTTATCGATATATCTCTCGACAGAGCGGAACACGCGATTACCGTTTTAAAAACAGGCATAAAGGTACATATATTTGTTTCCGCATTTTCATTTTTTTTACCGTGTGTGTATCTGTGTGTGTCCACAAGCTCGTTACAACTGAAAGCTAACACCGAGTATATCGTCGTTTTTTTTTCCTTTAATAACTACATCTCGCGCGCCTCGCAAGAATGAAGATACGGGCGCGCTTTTGCGTCAATGTATTTATTATTTCTTATTTACCTGTATTGGCGATGTCCCTGATATTTTTTTTATCTCGAGACGCGCCGTTTGAACACTTCCACACAATATATGGCTAAATACTTCCGCTATCTTTTTCATCGGATGCGAAATTGACAACTCGCGTCCGTTTAATCACGCACGAGACTTCCGGGGTACGAAGTCCTTTGTCCCCTCGAGCAATTTATTATTATACATTACAACGCAGGTATATACAGGGTATATGTACAATTCTCGCTCGGCCAACACCGCCGTAAATATCGGAGATATGTCCTCGATAAGTCGCAAAACATACTGCCGCCCAACGACACTTGAAAGCAAATGAAAAGCTAAGCCTGCTTCGCCGTAATATGTAAATGTAAAGTGCCTCTCACGTTCTGTCGCAATCGCAAAAGACGTATCAGCTATATACAATTTTTGTCAAATATGGTTAATCATGCGGCAAAACTCATTAATTATATAGCAAAGCGTGATAATTGGAGCTCGAAAATTATGACAATGGAAATAATATAGATTTTATGCTTCGTTATTTGTCTTGGGATTTATCGTATCAATGAAGATTTCAATTACTATATTAAAAACGTCCGATCGATCGCGTTAAAAAAATTGTTGTTTGCTAAAACTAAATGGGAATAATTATATGTGTAATAATATTATATGTAAAACTTGATTTGTACGAGTTAATGAACTAGCACGATCAAAATGATTGTTTTGTTTACTCTTATTACTTTTTAATCATCCTTCATAATGACCCGTACTTGTGTTTGCAGTTTTTAATTAATATTAATGAAGTGTGTATGCGCGTATTTGAGAAAAGAGTCTGTATTCTTTATTATTTGAATAACGATGGTTTTATGTGTATAAAATTATTCTCTCAAATATATAGCCACCTGCTTGCTCTCGATTCTTAATAAGGTATCGCAAAAGGAAAAAATTCAAGTAAATGAATATTCGGAGTGATGTACTATTATACGTAATTAAATACGATATATATATATATATATATATATATATATATATATATGTATATATATATTCTTTCGTACTGTCGCGATGACGTGTCATCTTTTTAAGCCATGATGTAGCACGTTGCGGAGAATTAATGATAAACTCGCGCTCGAAACTTTACCTCCCGCTTGCGAAAGTTCCGACAGGTCTTTTGCATGTCAAAGAGACACCACGATCGCGCGAACTTTCCACACGCGCGCCGTAATAATTCGTAATAAAAAAGAAAAATCATATATATATATATATATATATATTCGTTCTTTTTTCTCACAAATTTTATCTCCGCCGAAAACGCGTTTCGCTCGGCACTCGAGATTCAACATTCACCGATAAACCGCGCAACAGCATTCCGGCGCGATTTACGGCGGTCTGAAATTGCTATAAACGAACGGCTGCGCACTCGCATTCCTTTTTACAGGTTCTCGCGACTCCTCGTACAAACGCGGCGTATACTGCGAACAATCCTATGATCGCGGGACCTTGTTGCCGTTATGTAGGGAAGCTATCGATTCTGAGAAGAGAAGCGTGAAACTGGAAGAGCTTAACGGTCGTATTTGTTGCGTATTGTTGTCGATAAAAATGCATGGCGAAGGAAACCGAAACAAAGTGAATAACGTAACGTCGTTTCTGCGAATATGTGTCTATAATATATTATAATATATAATACTTTTATGTTCACACTTTATCGCCAATCGTTGTGATTCTCTTCCAAAATATTTAATACCGCGAAGAATTTTAGAATTGGTTTTCGGATTTAAATCGCATAAATTTTTCGTTTCATTCCAATGTTTCGTAAATATTTCAGCTTACTTTAAGGAGGAACAGCTTAATACTGTATGATAACTTATCATTCTTGTAAACGATCAAGATGGCATTTAAAGAACTAAGACAACACACTCGAACAAAATGATTTACACGATAACACAAATAAACAAAATAATTTAAAAAAATATCAAATTAAAAAAGCCCTCAATACACAGACCAAACAAATCGAAAGAGCGAACAAAAGATGGAAAAATACCCATCATTCTTCTTCCAAACATCAAAACTGTATGAACCACCAACAAAAATAGCACAATATCTAAAAGACAAAAGATGCCTCCAGGATATTCCGGTATACAAAGTTTCTTTATTGTGGAAAAGTCTAAATAGAAGAAACTGACAGGATGGCTAACGAAAATGCCTAAAAATTATTAAATTGAAAATATGATTTCTACATCAATCATAGCCATATGAAAAGTTAAGAAGAGTATCTATTTACCTTACTGTTTATCCTATGCGTTTGATACCAGCCAGATCGTACGGGCAGAAAATGCGAAACGAACACGAGAGTTGTAACGAGAGCTGCGTGAAGTGTTTATTTTTTTTATTATGTAAACACATACATAAACATATACACACGAAACGGTAGCGGCCGCCATCAACGATCGCGAACGATCGGAAAATATGATTCATGCGCGTAAGCCGATTAATTTGCAAAGTTCAACGTACACACAGCTGACGTAGATATTTATACAGGACTCTCCATGGAAATGCGTTATTTTTTCACCCGAGATTAATAGTTGTTACATTGCCGCATTCCGAGTGTGCGCGCCGCGATATGTTTTTGCGTGTCTCGCATATCTATATATGTACAGTCGTGTGTCGCCACGATCGACGAATCGACATCGCGTGTATCGCATAATAAATATAACAGTATATCACACATCGGGTTTTCCCGTAAGGAACGCGAGCATCAACGAGAAATCCTCTTTATTCGACATCGATGTCTCAGCGAAGCGGATCTAGCGGTTGGACGTTAAGTCTCATACATTCAGGTGAGAGGATATTCATATACAAGAGATTATGCGATTAAGAAACCGCTCATTAAAGTTTAGCGAGAAGCGCTTCTGAGACCGATTCGATCAAATATTCAAACACCTCCGGAGATTTGCGCGAACGATGTCGACTTCTGCTGTACACTTAATCGTATATACATAATTTTTTATAATGCACAGAATCCATTTATAATAGCATGCAAAATTACTGTTTTTAATACAACAGTAATAATGGAGAAAAAATACTATGAGAAAATGTAGCAAGTCTTTAGAGACGATTTATCAAAAAGTAAGGAAAGACCCTATTTCATCTTTAAAAATCTAAATAACAAATCTTTTACAAAGAACATTATTAGACAAAAAACTATACCTTAATCTCAAAAAATCTGATGACTTCCAGACTATATTTCTGCCTTCTCAAAATTCATAAAACCAACACGCCGAGAACCCCTCACCGACACTACTTACACAATTAAAAACTTTTCAGACTTCATATAAAGAATATAAGAAATCCGACTCCATCACCATATAAAAGGAAATCTGACAAAGAAGAGTTCAGTATCAGGCTGTTCCTTCCTTATGAAGTGAGCTAAAATGTTCATGAAACGTTGGACTAAAAAATAAAAAAAAATCTACGCGGTTCAACAATTAGAAATTCTTTTAACATTCGCATATTTTAAGAACTTTAATAACTCTTGAATAATTTTTAAATAAGTTAGAAAAATAGATGCAAAATGAGAAAGATAGAAAAATTTAAGTATGCATTTTGATAATAATAAATCAATATTTTTTCAAGACCTATCATATTTTTTTCCGTATCATATAAATACGATTCTGTTCAGCATTTTGTTTATCCTAGTAGGCAAAATATTTTTTGTCGTGCTTATTTATTCAAGCGGGTTGGGCGTAATATTGTATTGTATCGTACGCAATAAAAGAAGAGAAGGAGTTTCTATGCAATTGGATATCCGAGTTTCTTCTTGACTTCTTACATTAATTTTACACGTACCAATTAAAAGTTATAATTATAATGAAGGAAGCTTACAACGAGGTTCGATGAAAACGTGTCTATCTAGGGAATGTATATATTTACACTCGGTCGCTGCATGATACAATCAATAATGATTGCATCCCGACGACAATTGCTGCGCCCGTTATCACTGACAACGATATCACGTCGAGAGGATTCTCGAATCTTACGGTGCAACATCCTTGACGGTTTTTTTTCGCAACAAATATTTTCACAATTTTATGAATTTAAAGAAAAATATCAATTTATAACAAAAATTTGCATGATAAAAGTTATATGATCTATTGCAAAAGATAATATTCTATTTTTAAAGCTATTTCCCCGAGATATTTTGTTCGTATACATTGTTATTTCCGTTTTCAGATTTTCATTTAGATGATTCTTTCGAGTACAATTTCTGACAAATATAAACGAGAAATAAATTGTACAAAAATACGAAACATAAAATTTACATATTTAATATTTCGTTTAAAAAATACTGCAAATGTCAAAGGTGTTGCACCGTAATGAAAATTGCACATGGGAATCAATATACGCCATTATCTAAAGTGTCGAATGCATTTCTAGCTCGTTATATTCTCAACCTTTTAATTTCACGATCATTCGCTAATGTTATTTCTGGCAGTAAAATGCTTCTTCTTACCTTGTTTTCGACGAAAAATCTTGTTTCTCGTTCATATAACTCCAATTGATCTCTTCTTTCTTTGGATTATTAGAAAAATTATACGTGGAAGATAAAAATTTCTGGGGATCAAACTCACAAATAAAAAAAAAATTTCTAGTTTCGTTGGTCACGTTACATTTTTAATGCATTTCTATTGAATATATTTTATAATTGAATGTATTTGTCAAATTTAATTTAAAATTTATTTTAGGAATGTAAAAGAAAAAAGTTTATTCTTCAAGAATATCACTGAGAGATGAAAAGTTAGAAAAGTTTTCTCACATTATTGAGAGTTTGAATCCCCGAATGCGGCCGATTCGAATCTATTTCACGAGTCATGACGCAGATATCGACTCCAACGGAATCGATGCTCGCCGAGGAGTTCTTCGTACGTGCGAGAACTTGGTGGATGTGTCCACTTGATTATATATCGCGTACTTTCTTCCGCGATTAATTAAACTATCTAAGATTATGTGTGTCGGGGAGATGGGCAAGAGATATTATCTTTCGAGAACAAAGACGAGCAAATCGACGATACTCGCCCAGCTCGATTCTTCGGTTTAACGAGAAGGCGCCGCGACGTAAAAATCACGAGGATCATTCACTGTTACACAATAACGATTCATAAATCTAACTAATTATATCCTCCGATTTTTCTCGTCGCAGTTCGCTTCGTATTAAGATATGATTGTCTTTCACCACGAAACTTTTGTTGCCTCTCGCCTTTCTTTTCTCCCGTTAACAGCTTTCTCCCTGTTTTCTCTCTGCTATTAGAATCGTTCCGATCCCCTCATCAAAGGATCTACACGGGCAACAAAAATCGTTGCAGGACCGCTGCCGCCAGCAGACATAGCGAAGGTGTCGTCAGGGTGGCGAGACCTCGAACTGAAACACGACGGAATGAAAAGCTTAGAAATTGTGCAAGTATTTTTCTTCCATTTGTCTTTGACAGATTGTAAGTGACAGTTTATTTCATAATTGAAATGGAAAAACTTGCAAGTTATTCAGCGTTTAATTTGTTAGAAACTTGTAGTAATATGTCCTTATCATTTACAAATTATTTATTATACAAGTTGTCTTATTATAAAGTTATTATTGCTCTTATAAAGTTTTTAAAAATTTTTTTTCTCATGTTCGTTTTAGTAACCAATCCATTTAGTGAAAAAAAGATTCTAATTTCAACTTGAATGACAATGTAATATCAATCGCGTGACATTCAATTATTCCAATCTCAGACAAATGGAGAAAAAGATGAAGATTACGTTATAATATAGAATAGAAAAATATCACCGCAAATTCCTCGTTTCACATCGATAAATCATATGAATAAAGCAGGGTCATATAATGTAACTCTAGAAATTATATATATATATTTCGTATGTGTACGTGGTTTGTAAAAATAAATTCGTCCATCAGCCAATTCAGATAATTTAATATCCTTTAATAAGAATAAAAAAAATAATAATTGAATAAATATAGAACTAGCTAATATAAACTGTCTAAAAATGCAAATATAATTTGAATTGAATTAGCTGAAACGTGTAACTGTCGAACACATCGTAAACAAGATGAACGACTTTATCTATAATTAAATGTCATCTTCATTTTTGTATTACACATTCTTTGTTATACATTCTATATAAATACGAATTACTTTTATCTTTATTCTAGACTGTACTAAAATACGTGTATAATTACGTCAAAATATAACGAAAAAAATGTAGTCACTGAATAAAAAATCAATATGCTGCATTTGTATGTATGATGAGTTACAATGAATGTCATAAAAAATGCATTAAGCAAAAAATATTTTTACCGCAGAAATATCTCCTATTCACACGAATGAGTACGTATAGAATATTTATATATATTAATTGTAAATATTATAATATTTATATATATTAATTGATTGAGGGAAAATTATAATAAGCCGCAGAACAGTTTTTATTTCAATCACATTAATATTATGATAAAAATGTTTATGAAAGAATCCGATAGTTTTTCTTTCGCGTTGACGAGAAATTATTGAATCGCAATAAAGCCGAACGAGAACTCGCTACGTTTCTGTTACGTCAGAAAATAGGAAAATCACGGACGTGTGACAACTTGACCGTCATACATCGCATGAAAAAGTGAAACAATGTAACCGCTATTCAGGTAACGTAAACAGGCAGACAATACCAGTCATCCATATGACATAACTCGAGGATCCTATTGAGCTACTGAAAATCATCTAACTACTCGGTACGGTTTTTCAGAGTTATTTCATATTCTCTCTCTCTTTTTTTTCGGGAACGAACCAACGAATATGTGCGGTATTTTTATCCACGCTTCGAAGGGAACGGCATTCAGCTCATTCCGGAAATATAAAGAGAAATACAATATCGTCGATATGACATAACTCAGCCGAAGCTATTGTCAGTTCACTATACATTTCGATATTATTTGTGAAAAGAATAAAGTTACGCGTGTAGTCTTTCCGCTCTCATACAAAAGTTACGCATTGAAGTATATATGGTCGAGGGTCACACTACCACCTGTCTCAAACGTGTCATCTGCTCTACTATTATTTTTTTCCTGTGATTTTTGCGAAAAAAGTACGCGTTGAAATTTGGATGTATTCATATCCTAGCGCTAACATTTTACCTCATTTTGAATTTTTTTTCCTCCTATATCGTTGGTTCCTTACATTTCGCTTTACATTCTTCGTTTTTTAAATGTAGAATTTTGCAAACAGAAGAATGACATTCAGTAATTACGTTAATTGTCGGTTTTATATTTTATTTCACAATGGTAGCTTAAAACCGTATGTCACATTTTTTTTTGAAATATCTGACCTAATTCGTTATTTTCATTATTAAATTACTGAATTAGTTAATTAATAACGCAACAGATATATTTGTGTCACGTATAATAAATATATGTATAACACGATATAATATTCTACTATAGTACAAACATAATTACGTAATTAACAAAATACATACATACATATATATATAAAGAAGTAAAACATTGTAAAAACATTTTAAAGCGACGAGAGTTAACTCGTTTTGTTCAGTTTAAAATGAATTAAAGCAGGCCGAGTCGGGCGTCTTGGCAAGATTGAAGACGTCGTGACCGAGTTAAATAGCGACTAGGTTAAAGAAGGAACAAGGAGAGAAAAAAGGAGAAAAGGAGGTGATAATTTGAAAAGTCGCAAAAAGGGGGAACCCAGAACGGGAGAAAGAGAGACAGCGAGAGAAGCGACACAGGGAGACGATAGGGGTGGCCGTTGATAGAAAGAAAACTGATAGTTGGCGGAGCTATAAGGTATGTAGCTACTACCTCGGCGATAAATGCAAGAGGCGTAGCAGGCCGTCGCATAGAGCGCTTCCAGGAACGATTCCGCCTAACGAGAAAATCGAAGATCGTTAAGAGCAATTTCTTCGAGTCGTTCGACGTCTTTTCCGGTTTGCCTTACCTCTTCTTACCTGTCCTCTCCTTCCTGCCAACCCGTTCGACCTGACTTCACCGATCGACGCGTTATCTCCTTCCCTCTACTCTTTTTTCTCCCTTTCTCGCGTGAGAGGGAGGTTCTCCACCGCGTGTCCGTTACCTCTTCGCGTTTATTTCTTTTGCCCTTTCACCCCGAGGCCTCGTCCAACGGTCGATATTCGGAGAGGCCCACTTATGGCAATTAGGCCGAGTGCCATTCGGCCTAACGACGATGAAAGCATGCGACTCTTCTTCGTGTTCGCCATTATAATAGGTATCCTCAATAATTCCTGAATGTATAAACTACGGTAAACATTGGATACCGATCGCGATAAATGTTACTACAGGGGTTGAAGAAATGATTTTATTCCCCACGAAATTATATTCGTCGTTATCGCGTCATTAATCCTTCAATTTAATCTCTAAATCTCTCTTTCGCCCCAATTGAAATTTAAGAATTGGGCTTTCGAAATCGTGAAATTAAAATTTCTCACCAAAGAAGCCAGCCACGCGGTGAACTAAACAATGTACGAATTGGCCCGGCACAATTTATGAGTGGGAATATTTCTAGATGACGAAAAGCCGCGCGCGCCGTTTGCCGTACAAAACATCGCCCGATAACTCGAGCCGCGCGGCGTTTGTATGCGCCGAAATGTTTGTCGGTTTACAATGGCGTAGTTATACGCGGAGCTAGTCAAATGCCGCGTATTATATGCATTGTAATTCCCTACGCCCCGGCCGCGGGATTTGTATTGCGCGGCGTGACGCGACAGGGCCATGCGGCTAACGCGCATTTGATTATTCTCGTTGCGCATTCGTAATGCATGAATCGTTACGGCCCCGTGACGCATTCTCAAAAATCGCCCGTCGCGCTGTCGAATCGCGAAAATGTTTCGAAATGTCTTCCGATCTGGGCTGCAATTGTTATATCGTATTTTCAAAAAAAAAAAGCATTTCATTCCGATCAATCACCCCTGTGACGCAAAATAAATCACCTCCATCGTCATAATTTCTAATATGCTCTAATTTACTTGTCGCGTCACCTACAATCCGTTTCCGACCGATATAATTCAACGGCTATATATATATATAGAGTTGACAAAAATATAGAGCGCGACATGTAATAACACTCTCTAAATTACAAACGAGAAACGTGTCGGCCGCAGGTGTTCCACTGGTTGGCGTATTTTTCGACGTATTTTTCACCGGCGTGTACAATCGTGTATAAATGTGGTAAATCGTTGATTACCTTTGTGGCCCTAATAAAGAGAGAGAGAGAGAGAGATACGCGCGTTCGAAGCGGTGTGAATCGCTGGCTGATCGGCTGTGGCGGCTCATTCCGACAAAATTGACCCGAATCGAAGCATGATGCTCCAGGCGGAGAGTGTGCACCGTATATAGGCACTGCGTCCTATCTTTCTCGCTCTCGAACGTTGTCAGTGCGATTTCAACGACCGGGTCAACTGGCGAGTGTCTGCGCGTGTCCCACGAAAAATAGTCTGCTTACATCACTATAAAATATTGCCATCGCGCCGCGTGTAAACGAGTCGCGCTCGCGAAAAGTCGATTTATGGCGCATCGAGCGACTACGAAAAATACTATTGCGGTAAAAATCTCGTGATATGTGTATATACGTATTTACGTATATATATATATATATATATATATATATATATATATATATATATATATATATATATATATATACACACATACACACGCAACGTACGTGTGCGCCATGTAACGGCACACGCGTATCGTGAATTTCTTATTCTAACTCAAATTGCGTGACGCGAGGGATTAGTTGATAAATATTTAACCGCGTTGCGCGCCGGGCGTTGCCGCGAACGCGAGTACATACGAGACACACCACTGTACACGATTTGATGAATCACGTATCCTTCCACCCACCCTCGGTCCCCCCTCTTTGCTCTCCAGATTTGCTGTTCCGATTTTCTCCCTCGACGATACTACTACCTCGTGCGAGGGAAACGGAGCGTTTCCGCAATTTCGTCCTTATTGCGTGTATGTTATATGCGTATATCGATTGCCTTGTAACGCGACTCCGAAGATACCGAAGATGAGGTAGGTGTGGATCGTGAAGGAAGATAGGGGGAGAAATGCGAGCGAAAAGTGGTCGGGATTAATTTAGGTAGAAATTAAAAATGAGAACGAATGCACGCGGAATTGCGAGCGGAATCCGGAGAGAGAGAGAGAAGAGTAGCTCCAGGTGCGATCGAGCGGACGTGTTGCGCGCGAGCAGGTGGTAACGTGGTTGTAAATTATTGTCTTAATTTCTCCGCGACCCTTGTTCACCCTTCCCCACAGGTCGGACCTCGCCGGCCCTACGTTAATTTCGCATGCCAGGAAATAATAAAGTATAAATTTCCCCCTCGAGTGGTTACTTTAAAAGAAATGAACATAATATCGATAATCGAAGCTATCGCAGACACTCGACTCGGGGAGTATGGCTAGAATTTCTTACTTTATACGATCTATAAAATTCTTAGAGATAGCATTCTTATTCATCGTTTTAAATTATAAATGCGAAACTATAAATAGGGAATAAAATCTTGTATTGGCAAATATAATTATATATATAGATGTTCGAATTAAAATTATGATAATTATAGAGATAATATCAGATATCTGTACGTACGCAAGCGCATGCGTAATTTGAATTGTATTCTCAATGACTTCTCATTTTCAGGTTTACCATCGGTTTATTATTTAGCTATATGCATTCACGTATACGATAATTTAATAAATAAATATATATATATATATATATATATAATAATGTACAAAAATAATTTAATTCTCATATTTTCTCTTGCATGCGTATAATTTATTCTCGGGATCAGGAATCTGCTATTTCAACCTACGTATATACGTGGTTAAAGTTTTTGAATCATGGATTAAAATTATTAAATTCGTCATTTTATTACGCATATCTGGCGTACATTTTCCATTCAGTAAAATAATACATATAGACGTAGAAGCAGAAAATTTAAATACAAATAATTTTATAAATATAATCTCCTCTGATTCTGCAAGTATGCTTTTAGATTTACATGGTATATCGAATTGTCCATGGAATTCGGTCTCTAATATTATCGTGCATCATTTAAAATAGGCTTAAAAAGGATGAGAAAATGTAAAAAAATACATGAATCGAATACGCGTTTAAATCAGTTTTAAATCGATTAATTTATATTCGATCGAATGTAGTCGGATTCAAGCTCCAGGCGACACGACTTTGATTATACCATAATCTTATCTACGCGAACTTGAGCTTTAGTTCCGTTCTTGTTCGCCGGTTATATATCGATTATATGTAACGTCATGTGAACTTACCGAAGACCTCGGTGTTGCGCGTGTCCACGAACGGTTCGTCGATGTCGTGACTCGACCGCACCGTCGCCTCGCACCTGCAACAAGACATTCGATCATGCTTAGGAGTCGGAGCACGACGGTGTTTCTCCGGCCGGCCGGACAAAAGGGTAAATTATCGCGCTTCTATCGCGCGAAACTCGCGTAAAACCAACTCTCGATGCTCGCGAGAGCAAGAGCGATGTATATTTATGGGGTATGTGCCGAGGTGCCATAAGCAACGGCTACGTTCGAACGACGGAAATATACTACACGTTGTAAAAACTGAAATTACCTGACGTTTATCTTGTCGCTTGCGAGATGACCCGGCTCCAGCTCGAGCAGCAAACTCGATATCGTCGAGTACAGTCCGTGTTGCTCGAACACCATTTCCGAATCGGATTTCACCTGGAAAAAAACATCGTTCATTGAGCAACGGTTTTCCCTCGCGGCGACCAAATCCAATTGCATTGAAAGTAACTTTTCGATTCCGAGCATCGGGAAAGAATGAATGCCGCGACGTTCCGTCGAATAGATTGCTATTACGAGTTTCGAGCATGAATAGATCAGTAACCGTCGAGCTATAAATACATTTTTGTCATCACTTAGAATTGCTCGCGTCTATTTAGATTACGTTCTAAATTTACGTGATTAATTAACTTGGAAAACTGTTCAATCTGAGAAGATTGATAAATAAAAAAAATGGAAACATGAAGACATAATGCAACATATACTGTTATCTACGAAAATGGAGTTAATTATATTCGTTCTTACGAAACGTTATTATTCCAATTTCTAATTCGTGCTAATTAATCGACGTTCTCTCGGGACTAAGAACCTTGCGTAAGAAGGAAGACATAAATCGCAAGGGCATATGACACAAGAATATGTGCGGGATAATTATATATCTAATAAATCGTAGACTAGTACCGTGAAACCAAGAAGCGCTAGAGAAGAAGGGGATGCACAGATGCATCGTTGTATCGTTTCGGAGTACGCAAAGACATCGAAGAGGAAATGGGAAGCGCAAATGTGATGCTGCAGGCCGACGATAATGTTCCTGCACGTTGCTTCGACGTGATTCCACCGATTCTACCGGGTGTACATTATGCAACGTGATACAGCGAACAAATATCGTTTAGAGACGAAGTTAATATCGGTGCGACAGCTTCGAGATTATCGCGAACTTGATTACGAGGTATCGTGTTGAAATGGAATTAAATGTAAACAGGCGTGTTGGCAAACAACGCCGGTATCGCGGATAAAGTTCTCATTATTATATATGAGATGCAGTAAATGTGTGTTATAACAATCATTCGACGTAAAAAAACGTAGCTATTAAAAAATACGTAAAAAAAAAAAAAAATAAAACGTGAAAGATATAGGACGACTAAGAAAACGAGATTCTTCTATGTGTATGAGAAAAAATATTAAATAAATAAATCTTAAATCAAATATATTATACGTACATTATATTATACATATATGTAAAAAGAAATGTTATTTGTTATTTAATAATTTTATCAATTATTTTTATACTTTTCCTTCTCTCGTTCCATTGTATTAATAATTTAATGATGTGGCTAAAATATTTTTACCTAGATCTCATCTTATTTTGTATCTAATATCTTCAACATAATTAGGGTTAAGACTATGTCTCATTCAATAAATAAATAAATAAATAAAGTGCTGCATATATATTTTTGTAATTCATGAATATATTTTGGAGTGATAAAATTGCGATACCAATTTATCACGTATAAATATTTTATATCCTTTTTCCCTTATGCTTTATTAATATCAAAATATCGCTCAAAAAAACATGTGTACTCGCGCGCAGGCAATCTTTTTTTATTATTAATATTTATTTCGATAAAAGACAACGCGCGCGCGGCAAATAAAATTTATTAATGATCAAATACACCCTTTGCCAGATTCGTCGTATTCGTGTCTTGACTTTATGCAACAGCCAGATATACGAACATCGCTTTGTAATTCCAGTCCTCGCAAGTTCTTTATACCGTATGTCGTACTTTATGCGACTGAAATTTCCATTTTTTGCCGCGAGACGACGACAACGACACAATTCCGCTCGCTTATTCCGTGCCGTCTTTTCTCTCCCTATCCAACCCTCTCTCTTTCTAGCTCGTTCTCCCAATTTTACTCCGCGCCGGGGTAGAGCTCTATGTGTCCTCCCGTTTATCTTCGAAAGTCGAGAGACTCGACCCCTTTGCCTCCTATTAATAAACCACCTTGTGACTGTACTTTGCGCGCGTGCACGTGCGAGCCGAACTTTATGCGGCGGCGCACACAGGACGGGCTCTTGAATATTTCTATCGTGGGCGAAAAACTTTCGGCCGGAGCCGAGTGTGTGCGTGTGTGCGCGTTAAGCAAGAAGACGGGCAACCAACGGTGCGGAACGTGCGAAAGTTGACAGACGAAACTTCGTTGAAAGTTTCGACGTGACGCTCGTTTGAAGTGCAGAATTTCGTAATTAAGGTAACGAAATCGCGCGATTGTCGGGACACGGTTACGTAAATGGGGCGAGAGAAAGAGAGAGGAATGGGAAGTGAGTTTGTTTTGTTTGAATGTTAGAGGGATAAGTCGATATACGTCGGTGTTGGATGGATAAGAGGGATCTCGAGGGAAGAATGTTGATGATGTACAAAAGGAATATACATCGGTATCTCAGGAACGACAAAGATCCGGCGGACATCGCGTCTGCCGAAATATTTCAGCGGCCTGATGTTGTTTTGGCATATTATCGATAAATTTTAACGCTCGTACTTCGTGTATTTTCTGTATCGTTTATGAATTCTACAGTGCTCCCGTCTGATTTTGTTGCCGAGCGCCATATGTTTCTTTGTAGCGAAACATACGCGTTCCATTCTGATATGCCACATATATACGCTGTACATTTGCCTGCATACATTCTACTTTGTGCAGAAATACGATGCAATTTTATCATCTTTCTCTTGGCATATCTATGGCGTACTTATATATTTATCTTTGAACAATTGTCGTCCGGCAGTTTGTCTTGATGTGCGCGCTCGGTAAAAAAAAAAAAAAGGAAAAAGAAAATAATGGCAGCGTAAGAAAAATATAAATGCCGGAAAATTAAATCACTTTTAAGTTGCTCGGATACTCTTGATCCTGTTGATTGCATCCACTGCGATTCGTGACTGCCACCATCTCCAACATCTTTCTTTCTTTAATTATATACCTATATATATATATATATATTTATATACCGACATTTCTCTCTCTTTAATTTTATATATACAACACCAACAATATTCTTTCCAACCCTGTAATTTAAATTCTTTTTGTATTTGTTCCATCGAAATAGGAGCTCTGTGCTATATAAAGTAACGTGACCTTTCGCGCCAGTTACTTCCTCTCTTGTTAGCTTATTTATTGAAACATCTGGTGTATATTCCCTGATATCGATAAGTCATGATTCTCGATTGTAATATAAAACCTCTAACGTAATATTTTATAATCATAAACAAGTATATATAGTGCATATATATTTAGATAAACGTTGCAAAAACTAAGAATATTCAAGATTGTCGTAAAAACTAATTAATATGTAACGCCAAACGATTAATGTGAAATATAACTCGTTTAAAAAGAACGTTCGTTTCGAAAAGAAGCTAATTTCTCTAAGCACTCGCTAGTAAAATAAACGTTGCAAAAACTAAGAATATTCAAGATTGTCGTAAAAACTAATTAATATGTAACGCCAAACGATTAATGTGAAAAATACCTCGTTTAAAAAGAACGTTCGTTTCGGAAAGAAGCTAATTTCTCTAAGCACTGGCTGGTAAAATTATAGAAAAAATTCATTAGGACTCGCGAAATAATTCTCGATTATCGTTTCTCGCAGACGCAAACATAATATTCATAATATAAAATGCCAGCAATAATATTACAAGTCACAACGGCATTTGCTTTTACAGCAACATAATCCATAAAAAATACTCGTTCAAACGGTATATAGCAATCCTCGTAGAGTGGCGCCATTTTCGTCGGTTTTATACGACGACGACCTGATGACAAAGGGTTAAAAAGTGACTATTACGAGGTTAGCGAGCTGGAAATCAGCCGCCCTCGCTTTTTCCCGCGTCATAATCATCTACAGTAACCTCATCTTCTTGTATGTGCGTTTAGTTCAAAATTAAAATATATTTTAACATCTTTTTTTTCAAATGCAATTTTAAAAATTCTTTTTTTTAATTCTCAGAGATACAATAATTTTTTTGTTTTTAGTTCGTGCATATCACAAAAATAATACTTATTTGATAAAACTTCTATATGTACATATATATTATTTGAAGATTATTTTAAATAAATCCTATATAAATCATAAAACTGAATAATATTAATTGCTATTATTAATGATAATTTCAAATATTAAAGATTGAATAACACAAAATTGAATGAATAAATAAAAAGTTTTTGCCGTCGATCGCAAATGTAAAATTAAAATAAAAAGGAGAATTCGTGAGAAGAAAAGAGCGGAATAGTTTAAAAATCGAGAGAAACCAGTTTGATCGATTTTACGACCTTTTCGTCACTTTATAACGACAATGATTCTCCCGTCATGCTGCTCATCTGCAACGTATTTCTGAAGTTGGCGAGCGATCGAACTTTTTCCCTTTGCGAGAGAGATTACTTGACTCGCGTTAACAGGTTTTTCGAGTCTCGCGACACGAACATTTCCGAAACAATATTAGTTGTTAAGTGCTATACTAAACTCGCGCAACTTCTAATGGACGTCGTTGGGAGCGTTGCAAAGTTTTCTCGAAGGGAAAACGGGGTGAAACGGGTGGGGGTGTGTTTCCGCGGAAAAGGAAGACCGGAGTCCAAAAGATAAGGGAGAAAGTTTCGGCGCCGTCGCATGCGATCCACTGCGAAGAAGCTCTTGAAGAAGCATCGCTCGTTATATCGGCGTAATCTTTGATTCTTTAAAGCTTCACCGGAAAGCACTTGCATTTTACGTGATGCGATTTGCCTATTCTCGACGTATAAGCACTGTGTATATTGACACTTTCTATCTCTGTTTACAGCGAATGATCTTCCGTAAACGGTGAAAAAATCCCTTTCACTTAATCAATAATAGGCCAACTTAACGAGCTAGATTGTTTAGGATGTTAAATAATTTTTAACATCCTAAACAATCTAGCTCGTTAAGTCGACCTATCATTGATTAGTTGATTTGAATCCACACGAGCCTAATTTTTTAATTTTTTAATGAAATATTTAATCTCTTTCATGTTTTACAAATTGAATATACTCCGAAGACAGCGCAATCTCACATTTTCGGTAATATTATAATACTTGAAGAAAATTTTACAAGGAACACGAGGCAGTTATAATCCGGCCTACTTACTTCGCATGTACATTTAATTGTAAGTGTATTTAAGATTGCAAACAGAGGAGAGTAACTTTTTACTCTGGCATAAGTTATGGTCGTAATCCTTTGCCTTCTGTATGCTTGAGATAAGATTAATATTCTCTTTGTAACCTGAATCTATACCATTCCTCTCCACCCAGCACATCTAATTGGTCCTATTATTCTCGTCCGTAGAATGAAAATAATTACGAGTCTGCTTCTCGGACAAAAACCGGAACTAAGATATTCGGCATTCGTTCTCGGTGATACTTTACCGAAAAAAAATTTTTTTTATTCTCGCTTAAAGTCAAGAGTATGTTCGCGTTTTCTTCCCTTGGCAGCGCCGATAACGATACATCAATATGCATGCGATAGAAGCTCCAGCGGCCTCGAGCGATAGGAGGATTGAATTATTCGTGACGAGAGAATGGAAACTTTGTAATAATAACGTGAAACGAGAGAAATAAAAATTCCGCGCGCCGAATAGAACTCTCTTCTCTCTCTCTCTCGTCTCTTCGTCGATTTATCGAACGTGTCTGTTCTCGGCGCGCGAAAAAACAGACACCGACGAGTGGCAGGCAGTGCTAGACGTGCTAGATTTAAAAACACGAGCGAAGTGAACGGATGAAATAAGAATAAAGCCCACTTCCTCCTTTCCTCTCCCTTCTGAATTCATCTCGGGATTATCGTGCGCCAAGGAGGAGATAACAATTAAAGCGTAGAATTCTCGTGCGAATCTTCGTTCTCGCTCCGGTTCGCTTTTTCCACCACAAACGCAAATTAGCCCCTTTCTTATTGCACGTTCGGATTAATTAGTGAGTCGCGGTTTTTGTCTCGACCCGTCGTCTCCTTTTCGCTTCCGATTCGCTTGAATTCGATTCACAATGTTCTCCGCGAGACTATAAACAGAAGTTTGGAACGGACTAGGATGGGAGAGCGAGAGAGTAAAATCATCGTTCGTGACGCCACGCCGGTCCGTAGACGCGCGTTAGAAGGCGCTGAACACCGACGTTCAGCAGTGGTGGTCGATGCTACCGCACACGGAGAGATCCGTTTCGCCGGTCGTTAATTGGAGCTTTGGCTCATCAAGCGTCGCCGTTGCTTGCGCGATGAAATCGAGCCACGACGGACGGCCGAACTCTCTCTCAGTCGGCTTACTGTGAAATCAGCTTGCCTCTTCCCTTTCTGCTTTTCATCCTCCCCAATACCGATGCAACACCATCCGACCTCAACGCGTGACCCGCTTCACCTGGGCCACGTGCTATTCCAAGCTTCAACGCTATATACATATATGTTCTATAGATTTTGCGGAAGCTTGTTCACCCGTGCGACAGTGAGTCCCTGTGTTGCAAACGCTTTCACCCTCCTCGTTCTCTCCCCCCAACAAAGACACAATAATACGATATCGATCGTGAAACATTCCATTTTCTCCTTGTCATGTGCGCGCGGGTACATCTCTAGTTTATATTTGTCTATATGTTACTTTGATTGAAACGATAAAAGATTCAGTTTAGTGGCTGATGCCTCTACCTTCTTGTCTGATATTTTTCCCGATGCTGCGGAAAGTACTTTTCAAGAAATGTTTAAAAGTGATTTTGCTCACCTGCTCGCCATTAACGAACCATTTAAGTTTCGCCGCAGGATTGGACTTGCCGCTGGTGCAATTCAGTGCGAGCACGTCGCCACTCGCGTACACCTTTTCCTCTCCCGTTATCATTGGCCTCTCCTGAGGTATCGCTGCAACAAGAATTCAAGAAAACTGTGACTTGGACGTATGCATAATTAATTATACGATGTTGTCTTATTTTAGCTGTATCTAAAGCGTTTAATACATTAGAGTTTTAATTTAGCATTTTATTTTTCAATTGTGACAGAATATACACGCGTGTATTATTTTATACAAGTATAAAAGCTATTATATTTAAAAAATGGAAAGAGGAAAAAGGGAGAAAAAACGGGCGACTCTGTTTTTCTAATTATAAGCTAAATTTTAGAATCTCTAAAAGAGAGATTCTAAAATGTGTGTTATTCAAACAAAGATATTCTCTGAGATATGGAAAATAAGAGAGTAAAGAGAAAATTGTGAAAATACGATCGTTTATCTCGGTCTTATTTGCCCAAGACATCTAATACTAAATCCGACATTGTTTCGGCGGCATAAAAAGCAGGTCTTCGCCCTTTGAGAACTTTGCACGGTAAAGCGTATATATAAAGGCGGGCGCACCATTAACAAGAAGTTTTACTGCCACTAAACGCGTTTATTAACCGAGCTTTAGATCTCGTGCATTTTAAATTTTTCGGCGTATACGTGCCGCCTCGCGTTAATGTCCTCCATAATGAAGCGGCCGTACGGTAGACGTACGATTAATAGCCGAAGCCGAGAAAGTGAACTCCGTAAAAATGCATCGGGGATTAGGTGCGCTCGCTTGGGAAACACACGCGAAATTTATGCCGACGCATATTTGGTTGATGCATGTATTTTTTGCCGGATAAGAATACTCCTCCATAAATAGAAAATAGATACTTTCCCTCTTTTCGTTTGTTTCAACTCGTTAAACAACTTGATGAAGTCAACCTAACTTTTTAACTACTTTTAATTAAAATTAATTTTAAGGATTTCCTCCATTTTTACATATTTATAAAATTGTTGTTTTCAAAATACAGGACACACTTTTGCATCTGTTTTTTTTTCTACAACATATTTAAAAATATTTTAAAAAATATACAGACTGGTTCTCGTAATAATCGCCATTTTTAAGGCATTTACGATAATCTGACAAAAATCGAAAGAAATTTATTAGTTTCTAATCGGTAACAAATTGCAATAATAAAAATTGGCTGAATACTTTTTGTTCGATTAAAAAAAGCAAAGTTATTTTGACTTTTTTACTATTATTTTTTTAATAGTAAAGGACGGTAAATAAATTTAATGAGTAAAATGTCATTTCAAGTTACATATTTAAAAAATTATTCTTATCTTCTTTTCATATATTTTATATATTCTCCTTTTTATATATAATCTTTGTATCTTTGGTGACATTATAAATATAAAAAGGATATAATTGGATTTTAAATCTAAATTCGATTTTGAAATATATATGTTCGTCTTTATAACTAAATCGACTGCATGTAAAAATCAATCAATGAGATGGTCCCAGATAATTCTCATCAAAATCACTCTCGAAGGTATCATCGTAATAAAAATATACTTTCCTAATAAATTTTAAAGTTATCGCGACATTCCATTCAGAATATATGTAACAAAATTATTAAAGTCTTATAATTACGATCCTTTCGATCCATCTGACTGACATTTCCACCTAAAGTCGGCGTTTCCGTCGGAAGTTGCAAATAAAGAATAAATATCGTTTTTATTTTTATTTTTAAATTATTGATATATCAATTAATAAACTTATTGGAAAACTTTTTTTCTGTATAAGGATATTAAAAATGTTATTATTTTATATTTCAATCAAACAGAATATATAAAATTAATGCTTATGTGTAAAATGTAAGAAAAGGAATATTTATTTTTAGAGAAAATAATAAAAGTTCTTTAAATTTTTCACACACACACACAATTTTTTGAATATGAACGCAGATGTTAAAGAATCAATCAATGATATTAGAAAAATAAAAAAATGTATAATAGATATAAATATAATCGAAAAAAACTTATATGACAAGAGATGATAAATTGTTATAAATTAAGAGGACGCTGTCTCAAAACAACTATAGTTTCCACACAATTAACTCCCTTAGCATTTTTTAACATTTGGCAATAAAGTTACCGTCTAGCCGATGGCACGACAGCGAAATAAATTCAAATAACTCACGCTCGCTTGCTCTTGTTGAAACGCACTGGCCCGACGACGGAAACGCGGATCGAACTCGCATGTTAGCGAGAAGAGGGACGAGAGACAGAAAAAAAGGAAAAAATACGAGAGTCGAGACCGCTAGGCGAAAATGGAACACGATTAACCACGAAAACACAATTAGACATCTGTTTTTACGTGAGAATAAAAAAAACAGTTACGTGATATGATATCCGATAGTGAAAAAAATAATTGGATTTGTTGAAACTTGATTTCAACTTGGCATTATATTTATATGTTTGCGCGACAGGTAATGAAATACTTCATTTTTATTTTATGGTCACGCAAATCTCTCTTTTCCGACGATATTTGCAAACGGTACGCTTCACGCTCAAATTCGCCGCATTGCGAGCGAGAAGCCACGAAACGAACAACGCTCTGGTTATCGATTTTTACGCGGCCCAGCGCAAGGGGAGAAAATTTTGTCGCAAAAATGCAGCGGGAGACGAAAAGCCGACAGGTCGACGAAACTTGGCACGACGACAGCCTCCTCGACGGCCTCCTACAACGGTCTTAAAATTTCCTCGTCCGCATCCTGCCACCCCTTACTTCCAACGTCAGCGACCATCTCGCTCGCTCGCTCTCGTGAAGAACATTCCAGGCCTTTTTCTCTTTTCTTTTTTTTTTTTTTTTCGTTTCCTTTGGCCCGAGGCGGTGTCGGCGGCGCCCAGTTACGGTTTAAGACTTACGACGCCGTAATATTTATCGCGTTTCGACGGCTTTATGCACCCTTAAACTTTAATGCCCGTTCACCGATCGCGCAAACCACTCGGCTGAATTTTCTGCCTTTCGCGGAAAACGTGAATTCCTTGATTCGAATGGAATGCGGATAAAACAGAGAAATGCAATGTGGTCTTTCGTAAAATTAGTGTTAGAATATTTCGTAAGTCGGTGCGTTTCATTGTTTTGGTACAATATGATCAAAGGATACGCAAATTGAACTCTCGGAATTACGTTGTCACCAATCATCCTTGATGACGACTGAATCGTTTGTTTGCAAGACGTTTCGCGAAATAAAATCTTGCATATCTTCATAACACAGAAATTTTGTAAATTGGTAATAATATTTATGACATAAAAAAATTGTTCCTTCAATTAATATTTTTTCGTGTTATTATAATGTGTGTTTTGTACTTTTTGCATATTAAAATAAAATATATAATTTAAAATATATAAAAGTATATAATATATTAGTAATTATATTTTATATAATAATCTATAATAATTATATAATACCTCTCTTTTTAATGAATTATGTATGTTTTTAAATGCATCTCCTTTATTGAATTATTAACAATAATGTGCGGAACATTGTGCGGAATAATTTCTGTTTTAATGTTTTTGTTGTAATATAACGTGACTTCCGCACAAATGAATAAACTATTCGAGAAATGAATGCGGTTAATGCATTATATTTTATATCCGACATCATCTTTCTCCCTTTTTTTACAAAATTCCAAAAATTCACCGTAACAAAATTGTATTAATTTGCCTGAATTTTGTGAATTTGCAAATGATAGTATGTTGTGGCAATAATTATAAAGCAATTATGTTTTGCCAATAGCGGGACGAGTCCGTTATAATCGTGCCTATCTGTTTTGTCAAAGCACCTACGTTGAAGCGAGTTCATGTCTGGCTCGGAACCACTATGTACTATCGTATCACCCACTTTGACCGTATGATAATCCTATTGCAACGGATACCACGTCTAGCGTGTGTTCAAGATAATTAGATACGCTTCCTTTGATCCTGATAAGAACAGCGTACGCATCTACGCGCACGGCTATTTGGATCGAATATCCGCCGCGGATTGATTAGTCAATGTCCGAAACATCGTATGGGGGAATCATATGTCGCGTCATCATCAATCGGAGATGCTAATCTTTGAAAGGAGAATTAGGGTGATTATGTCAGCGGATATTGCACGCTGTTATCGGGTTTTGTCTTCCATTTACTACTTCATACACTTGCTCTGTTTCGGGGATAAATGTATCATACATATTTGCAATACCTATAGTTCGTTGTTCTATGTATAAATGTATATCGTGCAGCTAATGAAAGTGCGTTCAGAAATCGAGTTGCATGTAGATCAAATAACAAAAGAATAGCGGACAAACAAAAAAGGCAGATGACGTTCATGCACAGATTATTGATGAATTTGTAACTTCACATGGACACGTACGTATTGTACGTTCGATGGCGCAATCAAATAAAGAGCTGAACGATTAATCAATCAAACCGTTATTCGTTTACCCGCTTGAACTGGTCAGTGGAGTAAACGATTATCTGTTTGTCCATCTAATCAATGAAGCGATTATATAGCTGTATTTTATCAGTTACAAGAGAAGTAGCGAAATATTTGAAATACATGAAAAATACAGCTTTAAAATTAAAAGAGAAATTAATCGTATGTGGTGAATAGATATTTGCCAATGTTTTTCGCCTATTATTTCGTTCATTAAAACTGTGATTTTTTTAGATAATTTTAATAGTACTGCGCGATCATTTTAATAGCACATTTATATATGCAATGCGTGTTAAAACATTTTTGCATTTTTAGATATATAAATGTAAAATTTATGCTACAGGCAATTTGGAGAAAATATATAATTGCTATTGTAATTTTACAATTCTGTACACGCCAATTAGAAATTAGAAATTTTTAATTTGTGCTATTCGATTTCTTTTAAAAATTATTCTTCATGATCTCTGACAATTTCCAATTCGATGTTTTCTCAATCAGAATTAATAGTACTTATCCTTCATATTCACGATTCATTTAGTCCCATTACGATTCCAATAAGAGGAAATCTGACACTCGGTAATTATCACATTCTCCGACTGCTAAACTGTCTTGCAAGCAATACCGAGTCTCGGTGGCACTTGCAAACTTACACAATGCTGTAATCCGATATCGCCAACGCTTCGACGAAGTTGCCGTTAATTTCGCGAACGGTAATCGGTCCATCGTAACCACATGAACGTGTAAACACGATAGAGAATTCATGATTAAAGTGATAAGACTCGTTCTATTTTCAAGGGTGGTAGAGAACATGAACGAAGGACGATACAGGTCTCGACACTCGTAGTTTCTCGTTTCTTCGCGAGAACGCGACGACTACCTCTCTCTTCCTTTCGACACACTGCCAAACTCGACCACGTCGTAGTCTTTAGTCGAGTTACCAAAGGGGAGACAACGGCGCGGCCGTGTTCAAAGCATTATTAATTAAACGCGACACCGGTCCACTCACCTATGACCTCCATGTTCGCCTCGCCGCTAACTGAGTTAAAGTTCGGCGCCTCCGCGTTAACTTCGCACTTGTATTTGCCGCTGGCGTGAAGGCTCGCGTTTTGTAATACTACTATCTCGTCATTCGACTGTTCTTTCTGAAACAGAAAATGCATTTCATTTTAAAATCGTATAAGTAAATCAATAATACAAAAAAATAAGAATAAATACAAAACGCTGAAAAGTTGATTGATATTACTCGAAGATTGTTGCTTGCAACATTCTATTTAATTGTAAGATAATATCTGTTAATTAACTTTTAATCATATATCGCGACTTTATGTATATGTATATTAAATTGAAATTTCTTTTCTCTTTCTCGTTTATCTGAAAGAAAGATATTACGATAGACATTTATTTTAATTAAATTTTTAATTACGGATTGATTGTGTTATATATCGACTAAATTATACATTTAAAAAATATAAATTGAATAAACAGAGTGGAAAAGATACATTTGAATTATATTTAACAAATAAAGAAACGATTTTCACCATTTATTATTTATTAATAATATAATATGCACAAATTTATTTAATAATATGTAATTTTAATAATGTGTAGGCACATCTATTATAAAATCACATTTTTGCGAGCTATTATATGAGATTGTAAAAGCTGAAAAATAAAAAATCACAAATAGGGATAAATTGTATTAAAATTAAAGATAGAATGAAAATGGAACATTTGAAATATATGAAATTTTGCGAGAGATATGTCTATTACATTTAACAATATGTGGAAATTTATTTTTATAGATGGATGAAATCTTTTGCTGCGGGCTATTATGTATAGAGAATTATAAAAATTTGAAATAATAAAAATGAAAATGAATTATATTAAACTTGAATGAAAAAATACATTCGAGGTATGTCTATTGGAGGAAGTGTCGAAAGATGAACGAGACGGAGTCGCGATTCTTCCGAGCTATTTGGCAGCATTAAGTCGAGGTATAATAATTCGTGCCATTACGATTAAAGTGAGACGACAAGACATCGACTTTACGAGTCATTTCGTTTTTAGAGCAGTGTAGTTACGTCGTTACAAATGGCGGTCGCAGATCGCGTATGATTACTGAGCGTAAGAGTTGTTCTTTTTTTGTTGCAGATTTGTGATTTAAAACTGTATAAAAGATTGTTCCGTTCATACACTTTTTTATTATATTAAAGCATTTATTATATTCCGCTTAAACTTACATGTTAGAGAGAAGAAGATTAATCGAGAGCTCTTTGTAATATTTTTAGAATAAAAATTCTTTAAGAAAATTTAATATAAAGTTAAAAGTGTATAAACTTAATATTTTGCAGTATTTCAAATAATTATTTATAATAAATTATCGCCAGTCTGGTCGACTTTAAACGTTGAGGAGTGGTTTTTTATTAATATTTTGCATAAATTGCAAAATTCTTCTCGTAATGCATCAATAAGATAATTATAGATAATAAATTATAAATGCCTATATAATAACATATTTTTTTATGTTAAGCACCTATGCAAAAAAAAAAAAAAAAAATAAATAAAATAACACGATACAAATGAATTTCTCTTTTTCCTCGTCAACTTTTAGATGCGACGAAGAATTTCGCAAATAAAAGTAAATGGAAGCACACAATCAAAGCTTGCATTTATTGAATTTATTGGAAAATATATGAAAAAATTCCTCTTTTATTTAAACAAACATTTCTTAAATTTTATTTTTTATTTTTTAAACCAGTCCAATCAATCAATTTCGTAATTATATATCATACAATGTTCTAATTTAATTAGAGTTCAAAAGAAATTGAAACTTTTAAATTTAAAAAACTAATTTTGTCCATCTATCTAGAAGACAAATATGGAAATTCGATTTTATATGAAACGATCTGGTTGGCACTTGGACCGTATACTATAAAGAAATATATATGCGCACTTAAACGAGCGAGCAAATATACGTGCTTATTCCATTTATAACGGAATATATATATATAAATATGTGTGTGTATATGTACGGCATATTTCAACGTCCGTAGTAGATCGGTGCAACGAGTTTAAGAATTATACGGCGGAGAAGTGAGTCTTTGGGTGCTTGCAAGGCAGAAAATTGGAACACTTCTTTGCTATTCGAGTTTATGGAAAGTATATTGCAAATATATGTTCCCTATGACAACTCTCAGTTTTGTAACAGAACTAAAAGCTTTCGTATATTCGCAATAGCAATCAATTTTTTCTCACAATCAAGTGGATTAATAAAATAATGGTATAAATTCCGTAAATGTTTTCAGATATCACTTTAGATAACAAATGTTATCAAGAAATGTCAATTTATTTATTAAACATGAAAACTGGATTTCTATATTAAATCTTTTAAATTTCTTATTACAATTCCGCGTTACAGCTAATTGTTAGAAAAACATTTACAATATTTTTTTGTTTTTTACATATAAACAAATTATACAGGACAGATGTTATAATCTTTCTACTTTTTTTATTTTCAAAAGTTAATTAAATGTCCGAAATGATTGAAATAAAAAGAGGTTTTTTAAGCAACGCTAACATCATAAGATATGCTTCTTGAAACACAGAATAATTTTAATCTAAAATTTTGGAAATAATTACACCAAGAAAATAAGATATGCACTAAATTCACTGCTATAGCCGATAAATTATTATTATAAAAGATTTATCCTAAAACATGTAACGCAAGTGCGATCGAATTATATTGTATCGAATGGGAGAAAAGAACGTACATTGAAAAACGGTCAGAAAGATAAACGCTGTTACCGAAAAGCTTCATATTGTTACTGTACCCTGATGCGGGCGAAATCCACGTGTGTATACCAAAGGTATCTGAAAACTCTTTTCAGGAAATATCTTTCGCGGATGCGATAAAACTGCGCAATTGTGAGGAAGTAAGTAATGTCTCTCGTGAAGATTTACCAAGCACTTTCAAAGATAGCGAAAGTGTTAAAGATAAAAATCTACAAATAGAAATAAAATGTATAAGAATAGAGCAATAAAAATAATCATATATTATCTCTTTCGCGGATTTAATAATATATTCCATGTTTTATTAATGATGTATATAAAATATTTATTATACAATTTATAATTTATCTATAAATCATATTAATTTTTCATTACGTTCATCTTGAAATAAATTTAATTTTGAAATAAATTTTACTCGTTAAAATTAGAAAACATAAAAAATTACTATATTCTCTATAAATACTTCTACTTTCTCAATTACTGATTTAAAAATGCACGAGTTTCGAATTATAATTTCTCCGCTCTAGTTAAACACTCAATAAAAATAACAGAACAAGACAATGTTCATCCTAATATAGCGTTATGCCACGTACTTTTAGCACGAATAACGAAAAGAAAAGTTGGACTATATGGAACATATCTACTTCGCGATTTCTACAAGAAAATTCAGGGCAGCCGAACCGAAGCAGAATCGAAAAGTCGGATGACCGAGCATGAGAGAAAAGGTCGAGGCAGTACGCCCTCATATGTCCGGGGAAATTTTATTACCGGCAGTAACACGTTCAGAGATTTTTCCAGCAGCGGAGAAGTACAAACGCGTCTCCAGAAGAAGCGGAAACGTAAGGAAAGAAGGCGCACCGGCCACGATCACGTGGAGGAAGTCACGAAGTATAAACGACGTGGTTCCTGCGCGGCAACGTTGACGTTTATCTCGTACTAAAGGCGCTGTCGGACATAGAGTTCTTACGCCGACAAATCAATTTACGTCCCCCGAGAAAAGTTTCGCGAAAACAAGAGGGGAAATGACGGCGAGTAGCGGAGACCGCGAGAATCGTATTACCGCCGACAATATTTCCCACCGACGGCAATTCTCAAACGATATGTTTTGTAACGATAAGCTAATAGGTCAAAGGACACATTTTGCGAGAATATTGTTCGAATGAGCTGTCGACTCGAATCAATTACAACCGACACCATTCCATTTCCACTTCAATCCTGATCAATCTTACGAATTCTTTTTATTACTACTATGAGAAAAACTATAGGTAATGTAAAAAGGCTAAATTTAATTTTGTGTTTCTTATATCTCTGTATATTCTGTAAGAGCTATAAATCGAAGAAATAATAAGCACTTATCGATTCAATATTAATCAATCGAAATTATTGAAACAATTGATATAACACGCAACTTACAAAAGGTATAATTTAATTTTCATTACAAAAGATTTTGATGAGTGAATAGTTTTGCAAGAAAGCTGAAGCGTTCGACTATCAAACCCAACTGAGTTAGCGCGAGAAGAGTCCATAAACTGGCAGTTTACCGAAGCAAGTCAAAAAAGCATGACAGCGTGGAGAGGAGCGCGTGATAACTTGCTCAAAGCATCTGAGATTGTTTGTTGGCTTCGCTACAGAAGTTTCACGTAAGAGTCGAACGAGAAAGAGTTAAAGAGAGAGAAAGATTAAGAGAAGGAGAGAAAAACATAGTAAAGGGATTAAGAAAGAGGGGGTTCTCTCTCTTTCAGAAGACAGGTACGCATTTCTAGCAGATAGCGAGAAATTCAGCTGTTGATTCGTTCTCGATGAAATTTCAGACTCGAGTTGGCAGGTAATTTCAAAGCTGCGTTCTTCTCTCTCCCTCTCTCTAGTTCTCTCGCTCTTCCTCTTTCTCTCTCTTGCTTACTTTATTATATCCCACGTGTCCTCCTCTCACGGCTTCGCTGCGTTCCTACAGAGAGTACGTCTTTTTCATCATTTTTCCAAGCACCTCGGAATCTCTCTCGGTTTTACGGCGAATTAGCGAGCGCCTTTCAGGCTGGCTGCATCCGTGTCCGATGAAGGTAAACGCGATTACTCGTGCGCGCGAACAGGCGAGATAAAAACAATTTTATATTAGTTGCTCTTTCGCGTTTTCGAAAACGTAGAGATATTTGTCCGGAACTATCCCTACGCTGCGAGATTCGTTAATACTACTTTATTATTCGTCTTACTCATTAGAATATGGCATGTGATGAAATAATTGCAGAATGAGAAAAATATATTAGCTCAATTTTCCAGTTGAGAGATTCTTTTTCAATCTGGCAAATTGATGAAAAACAACAATGAAAAAAGAAAGCGCGGTTAAGTGTGAGTGATTTAATATTAATATAAAAGTCGATCATCAAATTATGTTTCTTACACGATTATAGTAATTTTGATTTAATCGAAAGAACAATTGTGATGTTCAATGAACAATTTATCATGCATGATTTCAATTTTCTTTTATAGTTTCTTTTTCAATTTACTTTTAAATGATAATGTAATTTTATAAGCAACGTTTCTTTTCAAATTTTTAATTATAATAATTAAAAATTATTCATTTTATAGAAGTTTCATAAACATGTAAAGAAAATTAGACACGCAAGAAAAATAAAAATCAAAAATTTTCGAGAAAAAAAGCCATTTACAATAAAAGTAAAATATATATTTCACAGCTCTCTTTGTTCGTTTAGATTAACGACGTTATATCTCCTTAAATTTTTATGATTCTTAGCACTTTAATACACGTCAGGAATCAGGCGCAGCGAAGACGGCGGGCAGACATGATCGCTTTTGTCCACATAGAGTTTTCTTTGTCGATATCGGGGAGCCATTGGACCGAGCCAGATTAATAGTCCGCTCTCCAATACAGGAGATTCGAAAGATCGGCGGGATGAGCCGATTCGGCTCACGTAATGCTCGTTACACGTCGGACGATATTAACGAGCGCCAAGAAGAGCGGAACTTTCGTGCCATCGAAAACGTGAATCGGAAGCGGACGCACCGTCTCGGGAATCGAGACGATTGCTCGCAGCGAAACGGAGACCTGCTCGATACTTTAGAGCCGCGGTAGTTTGCTTCATATCTCACGCGTACGGCCGATTTCTCCACGACGAAGCTGTCGTGGTCCACGCTTATTTTCACCGGCGAAAAGATCGAGAATCGGGCATTCGAAAATTACCGCACGAATCCATACGAATCTTGCATGCTGCACGAAATGTCTCAGAATCAAACGTCTTTTCATTCTCCGCGTGCGTGGCACATTTAAGACAATGTTTTCTTCGTTTCAATCTTACGAATAACCATCGCGCGTTTGTCGTAACTAATCTATCCTCAAATAAAAATCTGCTAATCTCCGATCAAAATTGATCACGAGAAATAATTTTACTACATGCCTCTTCCTGCAGTGTAAATAAATTAAATAATCTACAAATATAATAAAATAAATGATTAATATAACGATTAACTGCATATATGCACAATGACAGTATTCGTTTTATTCTCGTATATTCTTCCTATATAATATTTCTTTGTCATTAATAGTTACCTGTCGTAGAAAGAAGAAGAAATATTACGTAGAATATACGTATTTCTAGAAAATAGTGCCATATTCTTGTTTTCCTTCGTGTTGTGCATTTTCGCGTTTCCGTTAAGACTGCATTTTTTTTTTCTCACAAAACATATTACCACGATCGCGTGTAACATTGGTCTCCACGACTGCCTAGGTCCGCCTGCGGTCGTGATAGATAGTTGGGCTTTATTTACATTATTGTACTCGTGTAGAACTTTATTATTACACGACCCTGTTTATATACATACGGTGTGTCTTGGAGCACGCGTCGCGAGCGCAATCTTCCGCGCGACCAGGAATAAATTGAAATGTTTTACACGAAATTCTCACGCGACACCTTTATACATCACACTGCTGGTCCGATTCGACGCTTCTCTTTTCTCTCCACACGCTCTTTCTCGCCTCAGTGTATCGTGCCCGGTACAGTTTCACTTTAGTCTTTCTTCTCGAGAAGTGACGAATTCGACGATTCGCTTTACGATCGAACCCTCGTAAATTCTTACCTCAGGCAATTCGACACGCTACGTGTATATACGCTACGACGTGTCTTCCTTTATCGATGGACGTCAAATATCGATTAACGATTTCGTTCATTTTTTTAGGTCTTCATTTTTTTAAAACGTCGATGAAATGTATAAATAAAATTTATATAAATTAGGTTCGAATAGAATAATAGAATCTGTTGCTGTCGGGAAATTTAAATGAAAAGTAGCGGGAAGCAATTTTCCTCGTGAAATTGATAAATAATGAATATCTTCAGAATTTTGTTTCGAATATTTGAGAAGAGCGCAAATCATCGATAGCTTCAAACGCCTTATTCGATAATTTCTTGTATGTCATAAAGTAAAAAAAAAGAACCGATTATAATTTTTATAATTTGGATATTCTGTGTAATATACTTGGAACTTATTAAGATATACTTGATGTGCTTATCTACCGCAAATCTTGCTACGTCAAAGCGAGTATGTAGTCGTAAAGGTAATTGCATTTTACAGCTTGTCCCGTGACACAAAAGGATCTTGTAGATATAGATATTAAAACGTAAGATAAGACAGCAGAGGGGGAAGGAAAGGGAGAAAGTTTATGTAGTTATCCGTCTTATTTCTTATCTTGCTTCGCGTATATATAAAATGTTGACATTAAACCCGCGTGAGCGAACTTGATGGAAAGAAAAATTGCAATATCGTAAGATTAAGAATTACATACGAATAAGATTCCTTATGCTTAGAAAAAATTGTTTGCAAAAAAAAAAAAAAAATAAAGATATACATCACATGTGAATAAAAAATATTGAATAAAATTGACTGATTGAATATTTGAAGAAGATATATACATACATATACGTATGATTGATTATATAATACATATTTATCAAACATATTTCATTTGACATTTCCTTTTATTATTTTATCCTTAGAAGCTAATAAATTACAAAATTTTTCTACATTCGCGAATTCACGCATTCGTATAGATTATTTGGATTGCAGCAATATATAAAACTGCACATTATGTGATTATTTGTTAAATACGCAGCTGTTACAGATTATCGATGAAAGTTGAGCGGATTAAGATTGAGCGACGGCAGTAATCCCTATCAAACGTGATTAGCTCGAAAAAATCGATAGCTATGAATTTGGTAGCAACTCGATTTTCCTGTTTCGCGTACACATAATCATATCACCGATATCGCGTGCAGATCCATTAAAAAAAACGGTCGATCCTTTTTCAATGAACGTGATCGCGACCTACATCTGTTGCATCACGGCAGCGCGGGATGCATCACCCTCGTGCAATCTCTTTTCGCGAAGATCTCTGAATTCAGCCTCATCTACTTCGTAATATAAAGAGTAGATTGGCGCCGCTAAATCTTTGCGGAAAGCCGTAAAACTTGAGCGTTCCCATGTACGTTGTTGAGCACAATGGCGGTCTATGATATACGATGCACATTCCCTCGCGCTATACGAACCACACACCGCTTGATAGTGTACCCTAGTCTATTTTTCTCAGATCTATATAAAATGGGACGAAACGTTGCTAACGTGATACGTGATTGAATACTTTTAGCGATTTGAGAGAGTCCAAATAATTATGTCGTTGTCTATATTTTAATAATAATAAAATTAATAATTTTTCTCTCATTTCATACATCTCGAAAAGAGAATATAAATATATAAATATTCAACTTGTGCATATATATGTGTGTGTGTAAAAGAGCTGATTACATTACAGTAAAAAGATTATGAAGATTGGATTTATTATATATATCTTCGCGCGCGTTTTCATAGAAAAAAAAACAGAATTTTTTTAACCCATATGATAAATTATAACAGTATAAAGTTAATAATGCTTTATAAGTTTTTTATTTTATTCCTCACGTTCAATTTAATAAAGAAAATTTTTGCAGTGACACACAATGTGATTATGCATCGTCGGATAACTAATCACAAAACCGAATTAATCTGTGCTTCTCTTTGGGGTAAACGATATATTTTCTCGACGAATACAGATATTTTTATCGCAGGCCACAAAGACGCCCACGTAAGCTCACGTGTTAAGCTCCTTGTCGGAAAAAACCGTTTCCGTTTATCGAACGACGGGACAAATATTTTCGAAACGAAGTTTGTTCATCGTTCGCGGTTTCGTTTGCGAGAGGAGCCGATAGTTCTTCAGTCGCGTAGCTCCGATTTCTATAACCTGTGACGTTAGAGCAAATCTTTCGTCCTCCCCCTCCCCTTCCTCACCTGGCCTCTTTCCTTCTTCCCCGCTACGTATGCTCGAGCGAATCGAAGATTTTTCCCTGAAATTGGTATCGTAGATCAGGTCGAAAGCTCCACTTTGTTTAACCCGGAGGCTCTCCAACCTGTTACCCGGCATCTCGGATATATCGACGTTTAAGACGTATCTGCAGGAGGTCGCCTTCGAAAAATTTATCGGGTACTCGCGATAGATTTCGAGATTTGTCTCAAAATTCATCGTCCATGACACATCGCTGCGATGTGGCGGTCTTCAATTCGATTTATTTGTCTGCATCTCCCACCCGAGTTCGAGTTTCATTGAATGATTTATCGAAACAAATGCAAACGTAAATCTAGGTTTAAACTAATCCGTTTCTGTTAAAATATTTCGCATTCCGGAGATTACATACATTTTTTATCTCTGACATACTTATTTGCTTCCATTCACTATTGTCATTCGCCGATTTCTCTATTTTTAGATTTGAAAAATGTCTGCATGTTTATGACAAATATATAAAGTTTACCGATTCTTTAAAGAGCGAAATGCTCTTAATCGAAGAAGAACGTTGTATAAATGATAAAATGCTAAAGATTCAATATTGAAAAATACATAATAGCGCACTGAAGTATAATGGAACATAAGAGGGTATTTTACTCACGTCAACTTTAACGCCACTGACAGAATAGGTGTAGCCTTCTTTCTCTTTAGGTATATATTTGTAGAATACCTCGTGGTCCTTATACCATGTAATAGCATAGAGATGGTCTGCCCCTGGATCGTATCTGAAACAAGAGATTAAGCGAGACACGTTATTAAATGCGTGTCACAACTGTTGATCGAATAATTAATAGATACCAAGCAGTTAAGCTTGTGCTTGCAACTCCTTCATTGTGACACTCTATAAAATATTATATTCTGTCATTTTAATAATTCGCATTTTTATTAGAATAAAATATACATGTGATATAACTATATTTATATATTATATATTATTTTTTAACATATAATATATTACAATCAACTATTAACTTTATACTTTAAATATACTTTAAAAACGCCAACTAAAAGTGAAAACATCAGGTACGGCAGACAACAGTCAATCGAGTCCGAGAGTTCAATCTAACAAGAAAATGCTAAGAAATTTGAATCTTATTACAATCATTGTCCTGTCATAAATAATATCTCTTTGAATTGTTGCATATGATTATTATTAAAAAAAAATGGCTTTACAAATATGCGAAATATTTGTATGCGATATTGTATACACTGGTACTTGCTTCATCATCTGAAATCTTTATCGCAGATGGCGATGAGATCCCGGAAGCTAATTGTATGAGTCTTTGCATGATCAATCAATACGTCTACCTTTGCTACTGAAGAGTACCCCATCCAGCTATTCATAAGCCGCTTTTACCGTGGACGCAATTTACGTGTCCAGAGACTAATCGGTTCTGCGGTTCATTCGGCACAATAGAGACGGAGTCATGGAAACGAACAGGTACTGACGAGTCGGGAATAAAAGTGAAATGAACGCGAGCGCCCCATTCGTGCGCTCGGCTTTAGATCGTATCCTTAATTGCTCCTCGTTCGATTATTTCTATCGTCGAATCGCGTTATTAATTGAAACGGTTCTCTCTCGCTTTTAAGAGTAGCATAAATGTATTTTCTGGACCGCGAAACTTTAACATGCTGCTTATTGTTGTACAATTAACAAACTGGCAACTAGCATTTAGTTTGGAACGTTTGTGGCCTACTCGATATCTCTTTATAAAGTATTAATAGCTTTCCACATGGGAAGCAATTTACACATGGGCATGTATTTACATATGCGGTGAGCAACGCGTTAATATTTCCGAGTGCACTAATTTCACACGATCAAACATTCATCTCACGGTTGCACCTTGTATCAAATAATATTCAAATTGACACGAGAGAGTACTGTTCCAAGATGCATGTGACCGTGCACTTTTTGGAATTAAAAACTATAAAATTCGTAAAAACTTCACGACAACGCGATTTTTTCACGTACCCGAAAGTAAAAAATATTTGGTACTGACAAATGATTATATGACGATTATATAAATCATAAATTTTCATTAATCAGAGAAAAAAAGAGAAAACTTTTTAAAAAAATGTTTCGTACAAAAAAGGCTGATCCTAAAAGTATCGATTATAAACGTAACGTACTTCCAAACTCGAAAAACGTATTTCATATATTGTTTCAATCTATAATTACATTTCAATAGGAAGAAGAGATTGGGAGAATTATTCGTGTGGCGAGACTCAAATATAGAGCAAATATTAATGCAATAATTCATTAATATACGTGATCGATATATTATCGCAGCAATCTGTAATTTTCTTAATTGAAAATTATCTTTTTTGCATTCGAAATAATAAATTAAAAATCAGTTGATTGTCATGATTACTTTTTTATTATTACGTACATGTCGCAATTGTCATAAATTTTTATATGTTTTCGTATCCAGGATGTTCGATAAAATTCTTCACGAGATTTCATAAATCTTTAATATGTCGTACATAATAATACGCTGAGATTATTAAGTCAAAAGTCAACAAGCAAAATTAGATCGTTATCGATAACTACAATTAATGAAAGCATTAGCGTGTTCCTTCTTTGCTTAAAAGAATAAATTAGTTGCAAATTCGAATAATGAATTCATCTTTATATCTATGTTCATTCGCAATTAAATTCTACCTTTGATATTATGTTCGGAACGATTGATCTGGTCGGAAGAGGTACCTTATTCCACGACCACGCATTTGTCGTTTTCGCTATAATCGCCGTTTCTGGATAGTCTTCCCCACCGTTCCATCTCGTTAAATTGCATTTCAATAGAGTTTCTCAGTCATGCTCCGATAAACCTTTTGAGCGGTTAGTTCGCCGGTTAGGACAAAGGGAATCTCGTCTTCGACCCCGTCATCGCCATGTTCTTACGAGTGACGCGTTTGCAAAAGTAATGCCGTATGCGCTCTCTTTTGCGATCGGTTCGTATTCATCGAAAAATTATCACGATATTCGTTGCTTATCTCGTTAAACGAACATTTTTAAAAGATTAATGAGCATTTGGCGTCTGTCAAATGAATATGAAAAAATTTATCCAAATTTTCTCCATTTTGATGCAATTGACCGATATTCGCAAATTCAGGATTTAAGATTAGCATGAATATCAGAGATTCAAGAACGACTTATAATTTATAGAGTTTTTACCCCGAAAGAGAGGAGTGTATAATGTAGTGGTATTATAAGATAAGCTTCAAATCTCAAAAATTGATTTCATTCAATAGATTTTATAAAATATACATGTGTTATTAATCTGATAAAATAATTTTATATGAATCAAATTGAAGAAAAATCACGAAAAAAGAGGAGAAATGTATACTTTCTTCAAACAGTTTTTTCACATACTTAATTTATATTAATGCACTAAATTATTATAAAACAATTTTCAATATAAAGCAATTTTATTTACTGCAACAATCCAACAATCTAAAGTCAAATTTTATGAAATCTACCGAAGAATGCAAAAATAAATTAAGTTCAAATGTCAAAGTCTTGTTCCAAAGTATAAGATTAAAGCAAGTTTCACAGAAATACGATAATCTTCGTGAATTGCACTTGTCTTATATTCTCGTTTTCAGATTACATAACCCAATCCGTTCGGAACAAACTGCTATCTCATTTTTGTGATCCTTCTAACGCGTAGCGAGCAATTTAAAAAAAAATCATACAAGGAGATACAACGTACCATCTGTTTACCGCGATATGTATTGTGTCATTTCACGCAGTAATGTGTAATTGAGAGCCACGTGGTCCACAATGAAGATTCGCGACCGAGCGAGCAAAGTCGTGTACGAGGAACATAGGAGAACATTATTCCCTGAAGAGAGGATCGCGCAGTAGGCGGTTCTCCTGGTCGCGTCGGACACGTCGAATGCGATAATGCACGCTCGGCTGCAATGTCGGTCTCATTGCGCCGTTGCACCGGAGCAGTGACGTACCCTGGGGGAGCATTCCGTGGGCTGTGTGTCGGTGTCGGCTCACTACTAGCTCACTCCCCTCTCTTCCTACACTTCATCCTGGCACATGCAGCAAAGCCCTGGAAAAGGGATTGCCGCATTCGAGCGTAGGTGCACAATTTCGAGCCCTGCGTCGTGGGATTGATTTGCATTCTCCGGCTCATTTGCTGGGTCGTATCCTGCGGGATTTCTTCCTGTTCTTCCTCTCTTCCCCCCCCTCTCTTTCTCTCTTTTTCTCTCCTTTTTCTGTTCTCACTTGTTCTCCTCCTCCTCTTTTCGTTCAATCTTTTCTTTCTTCTTTTCTTCATTGCTTAGTGTGGCATGTTTTCTCAATCCTTTACGCGTGGGTCGATTTCGCCGACCTTTTCCAACAAATGTAATCTTTTTTGTATTTTTAGTAAAGCATTATTTATACGTGCTGCTTTTGTTCTATTCTTTAAATTTTTTTAATGGTCCTTCGAGTTTTTTTAGAACAAAAGAATAAATTCTTTGCCAGATATAAAGTATGTATCTTATTTTAATTCAAAATTGGCTCGATAAATTGATAGCGTTCATGCAGACCGATAAACTGAAAGCGCTCATGCAAATCGCCATTTGAATTGGAAAAACCAATGATCTAAATATTATTTATTATGTCAATATTACCATAAACCATTATTTTGTTCCATTTTTATATAAATTCAGACATTTATATCGTCAAATTCGCGATGATATAGTTATATAATTTTAACTTCAGTTAGATATATCCATTCTCCCGTTATTTAAGTTTTATGAATTTGTTCAACCAATTCGTTTATTATAAATGCGTTCAACGATTCGTGGTTTACGTCCATATAACAAAACATTGTAATAATTTATATATGGACAATGCATTGTGCACATATAAATATATAATTATTCTTTTATTTAAAATAATTTCGGTAAGCAATTATTATTGTTTGGTGACGCACAAGATTCAAAATCAATTTATAATTTGATCAACGTTAAATTAAGTCTCACCGAGATCGTTCGGGCTAATAAGATCGAGGAAAATGTCGCAATGATAAATGAGATTCGCGAGGCAATCGAGGCGAAATTCTATGATTGGACAGTGCGAGAATAGAGAACTGTAGAACTCGTAATAGGAAATTCTCTGTGGTGAAATTATACGGAGGAAGGAATATGCGTTATAATGCTAAAGCTAACGTGAAGCAATGAATCTTCGCCTTTGGGATACACTAATCGCATAAATCTTAACCGCGGAAAGTATATGAGAGTCCCCGTCGAATAAATGAAAGCACTAAAGATGTGATTGAGTATTCTCCATTTTTATTCTATTAACGCAAAATATTGAGATTTAACTAAAACAGAATTAACCGAAACGGGGAAAAATTAAAGAATTTCAGAGGACAGTGGTATTCCGTTCTCTCTTTGATTAGCCATGTGTTCCCGTTCGAATATGCGCAACATCCAATAATTTAACTAATGGCAAATTAGCGGTATACTGGCTTCAAAGCTTTGTCGTGTTAAATAAACATGTTGGGGATATTAATTAAAATGAGGCTGTCAATCTCGTGGCAACTTATGCGCGTCCACACAACAGATTGGTACACAGACGTGACGATACTCAATAATTTCGGTCGTATGATTTTCTACATATTATCGCTAATGGATACACGATTAGTGTAATCAAGGTTTATTGATATTGTATCACACGTACTGTTTCTCATTTTAAAATACGTACATACACGCCGTGCTATCA